CCCTCCTCCTCCTCCTCCTCCTCCTCCTCCTCCTCCTCCTCCTCCTCCTCCTCCTCCTCCTCCTTCCCGTACTCCTTCCCGTACTTCTCCTCCTCCTCCTCCTCCTCCTCCTCTCCCCCTCTCACCTGCAGCTCGGCTCTGAGCTCTCCCGTAAAGTCTCTCAGTGACCCCCGCCAGTCTCCATGAGGAGACGCTTAAGAGAAGATCTCTTGGCCCTGCTGCCTCCATGCTTCAGTCCTAATGCTGCTGCTGCTGACCGTAATGCAACTCCTGCTCCTGCTCCTGCTTCTCCTCCTGCTTCTGCTCCTGCTCCTGCTCCTGCTCCTGCCTCTGCTCCTGCCTCTGCTCCTGCTCCTGCTCCTGCTCCTGCTTCTCCTCCTCTTCCTACTACATCAACTTGTAGCATCAGCGCCACTCTGAAGCTCTTACATCATTTCAACCTCTTCCCCACCTATCCCTTGCATCTCTTATCCCATGTCATGCCCCTATCCCTTGTCTCTGCTGGCCTCATCCACTTCTTCTGAGACCCTCTGCTGTCCCTTCCCCTCTCCCTCTCTACATCTCCTCTCCTCCTCTCCTCCTCTCCTCTTCTCCTCCTCTCCTCATTCTCTCCCTCCCTCCTCATGTTGTTCTTCCTCCGCCATCCTTCCTCCCACCTCACCCCCCGCCATTTTCAACAAATTTGTCGGTTTGACTGGCAGTTTTCAGATTTGATAGGTGCAGGAGCGAGGGAGGGAGAGGGGGAGCGAGGGAGCGAGAGAGGGAGCGAGCGAGGGACGAAGGGGAGGAGGGGAGGGAGCGAGGAAGTGAAGGAGGCAGTATGTGATGTGCGAGTAGAACGTTTTTAATACTCGCACGTTTTGAATGAGAAAAATCAGAGGGGCAGAAACAGGAGCAGGAGCAGGAGGAGCAAGAGTCAAGACAAACAGGAGTAGCTGAAGGATGCAGGGGCAGGCGCAAGAGCTGTAGGACCGAGCAGCAGGTTGTTTCAGCCATCATTCTCGACCTGTCGTCTGAAACAACATTGTGCTAAGCACGTTTCAAGCAACCAGCACAGTAGGAGACTACTAACCCCTGTGTTCTTGTAGGAGGCAAGAGTGTCAGGGTACGAGCAAGAGCTGGGTCAATCTTCCTCGTCTATTTATTGCGCAGGCGTCGTCTGCTTCAGAGCAAGCTTTAAAGACTTTAAGAATATTGTACATGGAACACCTAATTATCAACAGAGTACGCTATCTCGCACCCGACCTCCTGAATCTGCTCTACCTCCGGCAACGATGCCAGCTCCCTCCCATCCTTCTCCTCTATCTTCTTCTCTACGAACTTGATCGAGTTCGCCAGATTCTTCAGCTGAATCTTCTTATGCAACGAGAACGAGCTCCATTTCTCGTCGTCCACCCCGAACTCCGGCATCTCCAGGTAGTAAGTCGACAGGTCCGGCAGCGACGGTCTCCGGCAAAACTTCACTATCTTCGCTCCATTCATCACATGTCGGCTAGGGGAGGACGGAGAGTTGCTGGTGTTAGGAGCCGGTAGCGCACTGCATGAGGCTGAGGAGAATTTCCTGAACTTGGCAAATGTCGCCTTCGGATCGACACCTGGCTGCGACATCACTGCCGCTCCTTACCGAGGCGCTGAAGGATCGCAATGGATGATTTCTTTCGAGACTTCAACCCAGCAGGAGAATCAGCCCCTCCAACTCGCCCTCTCGGATCCGCTTCTACTCCCTTGAATGATCAGCAGAAAGTACCTCGGATCTTGTACCGGAGAGAGTGCTAGAGACAAGAGGTTGTGGAAGGAGCTGATGAATGTAGAAAGAGGTCTGCAAACGAGATCGCAGAAGACAAACTTCAACCTCCCGATTGCAAGGTCAAGCGAGATCAAAAGCTGGCGATGACTTCGAGCATACAAACCACCTCAAGACCCCAAGGAACAGCAGATGATGGTAAGATTGAGACAAGAAGCTTCGCTGATATCTCAAGGGAAGACCAACCTCTATAGACTTGAAGAGAGAACTGAAGGGGCAGTCAGCAGCAAAGGGTTGGTGGCCAAAGGATCGAAACCCAAGAGGAAGGACCTTGGCAAGTGAGAAAGGCAGTAAGGAGGTCAAGGTAGAGGACCAGATCGAGATCAGAGTGGAGAGAAAAGAGAGCAGGAGAGTAGAGGGCGAAGGGAGGGAGAGGAGAGGAGAGGAGAGGATCAAGTCTGAGCGCGAAGAGAAGGGAAGGGAACAGAGCAGCAGCAGCAGCTGCTGCTGCAGTACTTGACTACCCCTGACCCCCATCGAAGAAGTCAAATGGTGGGGTTCATGATAGTCAGGGTCATGGTGTGCGAGCCTTATGTAGAATGCTTGGGTAGGGTTGTTTTGAAGAGATATTAGGGGGTAGGGTACTTAAATCATCGAAAGATGGGGTCCTTTTTGGGGATTTGAATTGGAAAAATTCGGGTAGGGGTACCAACAAAGGGGTCTTAACCCGATGGGTCCATTAAGAGGTGGTGGGGTACCCTTCAAATGGATATGTGGGACCGGAAGGGTGCGATAAAAAACCCTGGGGAATATTTAAAGCTAGGGGGTGGGGTTATCTTGGAGGGGTAGGGAAAAGAAGGGGTGATAAACACAAATTAGTACTGTATTGACTTACCCCTGAGTATTTGGGTGGGGTATTATCTCGGGGGGTGGTCATTTCAATGGCGTGCCTCAGATAAAAGGCCGCCCTACCCCTTTTATTTGAACTATTGAATGCTGAACCCTCAATTTACCCGTGCAAAGTACCCCTTCTTAGACCTCCTGAAGTACCCCCACCCCCTAAATTTCATGGGATTCGTTTACATCCGGCCCTTTCACTATGTATCTATCTCTTGCAACTCCCATATTCACTACCCCCAAATATCAGTACCCCACCCCCTAATGGCCCTTTACCACCCTCCAAAAAAAGATTTTGTGATAGGAAAGTACCCAATCATTCTCACGGTTCGGATGACCCTACCTTACTCGAATTGACACCCTACCCCCGGAGAGGTATAACTTCTTGACCAATGTGTGGTAAAGATCTTCTTCCCAAATTCGGAAAATTCACCACACATATTCCAAACTTGAGGCTAAATTTTCAAGTTGTAACCACCGTTCATCGCCGGAATTTGAGAAATGCTACCACCCCCCCCCCACCCCCCACCCCCTTTGAGAACAGTCATAGATGTTGCAAAATATAATAATAGATCTACACCTGCCGCTATAAAAGTAGATGTTTTACAAGTAAGCAAGCAACAGACTCCGAGGTAAATTTACTACACCTGCCGCCCCCCACCCCATCTTATCCTTTGTACCACCCACCCCTTGGTAGTTGAGATATGTTCGGATGTGACACCGAAAAGTCTCGATATTTGCGACGTGGGCAAACGAAAAGGAGATCTCTTCGAACATGACAGTACAAATATTCGTTTTATAGACGTTGAAGATGACTGTTGCACCGTTATTGTTTCAAGGCAGAACCGTTGTGGTCAAATGCAACCGTGCCTGGGAGGGTGGAAACTCAAAGCAGGGAATCGAAGCAATGATAGAATAGAGGGGAGGGGAGGGGAAGAATAGGGAAGCGAGGGGAAGGAAAATGTGGATCAGGTCTTGTCGGACATCCAGGACAGGGTAGGCTATCGGGTGCTTGGAGGAAAGAAATGGGAGAAAAAGGTTTTGAGATCGGAGGAGAGGCTCGGCGGGGGGGGTTAGGAAAGGCAGAGGGATTGGTGGCAACTACGTATTGTGTTTCAATGAACAATGTTGCTATGCCGGGGACCATCCGAGGGGAAGTGGGACCACGAACTGTAGCGCTCCGACATGCAGTGAAATGGCTATACTAAATTTC